CCTGGCCGGCCGTCCTGAGGAGCCCGAGGGCCTTCCCTTCCGCTCCTCCGTCAGTCTCCCGCGCTCCTCTGGGAGGCGGCGATGCGGGTCGGGGTGACGGCGTCGCCTCGCGCGGCCCAGCGCCTCCCTCGGCCCGCTACGCATTGTGAGCCAATAACGACAAAGGCGTGCCGACGCAGCCAGCGGCCGGAGGCTGAGTGCAGAGAGGACCTCTCTCTCTCTCTCTCTCTCTCTCTATCTCTCTCTCTCTCTCTCTCTCTCTCTCTCTCTCTCTCTCTCGCTCTCGCTCGCCCTTTCTGCTACGCTTTCTCCCCATCTCCTCCATCTAAAGAATGTCTTCTCAACCAGTGTGAGACGTGTTTGGCACAGATCCCCCCCCCCTTCCCCCCTGTTCAAACCCGACGGCCAAAGCCAGGCGCGTATCCAGTGGGTACGACCCTCCCCCTCCCTTTCTTATACGCCTCTAATAAGGCGTCTGATGAGTAGCGAATTTTCCTTTTAATTTGCCTGTAGCGCCCCGTTTCTCAATCAAAGCCTGGGCACGCGCCTGCTTATTGTCACGGAAACACACACAACACACCCGCACTTTTTGCCATGTGAAATTTTTCAGTCTGCATTCTGGAAGGAATAGAAAGAGGCAACCTCCGAGACTAGACTCTCCGGAATTAATGTCACCTAATAACTTAGCCCCGTCGCAGTCAGGCCCGCCTTTAACTCGGCTGTGTGCCGCGGGGATGGCGCCTGCAATTTATCATACGACGTTAAGTCGGCTTCTCTCAAAGTCCACGCCTTGTTTTCTGTGTGCGTTTTCTTTATTGGCGAGAATTTGAGGGGGGGGGGGGTATTATGCCATGCGCTGACGAAACCTAATTCTTGTATTTTTCCAGTCAGTCGTCCGTCGGTCATCACGCCTGACCGTGTTTATGGGCTGAGCGGTGCTCCACGTGAGAGAGAGGGAGAGAAAATGTTTTGTTTTCTTCTTATTTGTTTTTTTTAATTTTCTGCGGTCGCCCTGTCGTCCCAGTATACTTCCGGCCGAGCGGGGAAGGACTCGCTTTGTTTTGCTATGCAGCCCGCAGTACGCTCTTAATGCGACGCTGGCCCGGGCCTCTGGGGGGCCGGCTCTATCGCCGTCCTCGTCTATCCCACTGCAGCGCGTCTCTCTCTCTCTCTCTCTCTCTCTCTCTCTCTC